ACATTTTAATCCGATGTAGTGGAAAATTGCGCCATGCGAAACAAGCTGCTAGGAAAATTGTTTCCTTCGCACTGAGAAATCCTTCGAATTGATTGTACGCCATTTTTCGTCCTTAGCGGATTAGTGAAGACACGTAATAAGTTGGAAATGTCTTCTCCGCTTACGTAATTAAAAACTCACCGGCGGGAAATGGAAAATGGGAAGGGTAATGGGAATCCGAGTTCAAATGCGAGTTTGTTGTTATCCTTGTTAGCAGCTTTCGACCCATTTATGTTAATGGCTTTCGTGCACCTGGCCAAATCCTTACAAATGTCCCTCTTGCCATCCTCAAATTGAATAGTCCTCCTTCTGCTTCATGGTGCGTCCGTCGTATGGTGCTAATTTATGAGCTTGAGGCGTGACCATATGGTTGCACATCCGTCTGCAGGGACACTTGCCAACCAAGCAGCTCCGCCTGTTTATTTGCTCAATTTATGAAGTTGAATTATGCTTTCGGTGTGTCCACGTCGACAATGACTTGGAAAATTGTCGAGGCGGAGCTCGGAAGTAACTTTAAATTAGTGTAAATTGTATGAGGTCTGGCTTATAAATATTCAAAGGTCTTTCGATTGTTATCATGAGGGGCGCAAGTGGTGGCCATTTCACTAATGAAGAAACAAGTCATTGTAAGACCCTAACCAAAGATGGGTATTTTCTATTCAGAACTAGCTTCGTTTTTAGTAAAAAAGAGTTCAAAATATTTGTTATTTACTTTATTAGACAAAAACTCTATTTCTGTAATATATATTTTTCAAAGTGATTTTTTAAATAATTTTACTTACTTCAAAAACGATTTTTTTCTTAGTGCTTGTTAACATCAAAAAAAGGTAATTTTCAAATTAGAATAAATTATCTTAATAAAAACAAAAAATTTTAAAAAATACCATACTGATTTTGATTTCAAATACTTATCCTACTCAAAAGAGTTACCAATAATTCTTACTCGAAATTCCGACAAGTATTTGATTGGCTACCGTTTGGCTTTCATTCTATAAATATTAATATATTTTCCTGCTAATTTCGATAGCAGCTGACGCTTATTAACATGCTCTTAATAAATATTTATACTTCATGCTTGAATTAACACAGGGCCATTAAAATTCCGCTAATGTTTACAGAATTTCCGAGGGTATAAGAAAGAGGAGAAAAATCTTGTTTTCATTTCCTCGGTTAGTTTTTTCCCCGATTTTCCTTTGGCTTTCCTTCCCCCACCATAAATTGTCTATTGCTGTCATACTTTTAGGCATTTAATAAATTTTATGACTTTTTAGATGGGGCAGAGGGGAAGTGAGTGGGGCTGCTGTTTTAGCGTTGCTTTGCTTTCTTTTTTTTAATAACATTCGACGTAGTCCCGCTGGTTTTTCGCTTTTTCCTCGTTTTCGCCTCTGTCCGCCTGGGGATATAAGCGGCTGTCTCCAGACTCTCTTTCTGCCGCTTTTCCCATCCACTTCCACTTCTTCGAATTGCAAATATGGGTATTTATGCCACACCGCCCCCATTCCGCTCCTGGTTGCTCCCCGAAGTATGCAACAATCTTTTATATGAGTTTATTATGTATGCTTTTGCTTGAAACACACAATTTCCTCAAGCGATTTCCGTTTTCCCCCACTCGATGGGTCTTATTAAATTGCACCACGCCCCCCTGGCTCCTCATTATCCAGCGACGGGCTCGTTAAGTAACGAAAATATGATGACTGCTTGCAAATTGCGCTTTAATTGAATTGCGCATAGATTCTGCTTTAGTTTTTTTTGCTTTTTGTTTTTTTGCCCTCTAGGGAGGAAGTTGAACGTTTGGTTTTTGTGGCTCTGTGCCACGCCTCTCACGCCCCCAACTTGCGGCATAACTCAAAAGTCTTTAGAAGTGTTTCAAACTGTCATACGCATTGTAGTTGGCTCTTTTTTATTTCTTTCTTTTGTTTTTTTTTTTTGGTACAGGCTTTGCCACTTTATTATACCCTTTGTAGAAAATAGAAAGATCTTGGGACTTTAAGAATATTTTTTAAATTCAAAAATAAAAGAAAATATTTATTTGCACTAAGAAGTAAATTTTTCTTTTAATTAATAAAGTTACTTTATAGATTTTTCTTTAAAATAATATAAATATTGTTACAATTTTGTAAAAGAAACTATTTTATAGTGCATTTAAAAGAATATTGAATAGGTTTCCCCAGAGTATTTATTCCCGCATCACCATACTTAAACTTTCCTTTTTTGTTTGAATAACATTTTAGGTTTGCTTGGGCTTTCGGTGCAATAAGAGCAGCTGAAAGAGAGAAAGAAAAGCGTGCACTTTTCCAAGTGGGCTTTGTGTGAAGAAAAAGCGAGTTGAGAAAAGTCGGCGGAGTGGCAAATGGGGGAGCTGAAATGCTGGTCAACTTACTAGCAAATCAAAAGCATTTCTAACCAACTTGCCAGCGAAGTTTGCACAGCGTTTTGAGCGCAGAAAGCAGAGAGCTCCACTAAGGGAACCGAGATTGAGTGCAAATAAAATGATGTCATGAAGTGGGTGGGCGGGCTAAAAGCCCTGGAATGCATGCTCCACTTTATTTCAGCTATCAACTCGTAAAGTTTGCGGCTTGATGGCCCCCAGCAAAACGTCGGCTTTTCCCAGTGGGGGAAAATCTGTTCTTTTTTATTTTTTTTTGTACATTTTCCCTGCAAAACTGGTAAGAGACCACGGCAAAGCTGCAATTACAAGTTAAAAAAAGCGGAGGAGTGAATGGCTGTGCGCCGCCGAACTCAATGCACAAATCTTGACAAGTATTTTGTCAACTTTGACTGCTGCCAGCTGGAAGCACAAGGAAAAGCAGATGCGAGTAACTTCAACCTCAAAGCAAAAGTGTTTAACTTTAAGTCCTGCCTCCTGTGCCTTTCGCCTGCCTTTCTCCTCGGTGTCTTTCACTTTTTTTCCCGTCTTTTATGTGAGTCGTCATAGAAACTGAAAGTGTCAGGGATTAGGTGATTCTCGAATAGTGCAGGAGTGCCACGTGGCTTTGAGATGGGCTTAAAGCTCAAGGGGAATAGATGAAGACAAGGAGTTTTGGGCGTTATAAGTTTTTCACAATTTTTCTGATTGGCTACTAAAGCTTCAAGAAGACAGAGATATAAGAAAAATTCATTACAAAATATTGTAATCATATTTAAGATATTATTATTGTAAGTTTTTTTTAATTTAGCTTTTTTTAATGGTACAAAAATAATTTTAGAATTTATTCTTACTTCTTTCAACGTTTTTATTAAAACTAACAAAATTACATTTTTTTTACAAAAATTATTTAATTGCTTACTTTTTTAAAAATTTCTATTAAAATTAAAATTTGTACCATACAAATTTCCTTTATAGGAATGTACACATTTCTTTCCTTTAATCTCAGAAATACATTTACTCGCATTTATCACCGGTTTATTTGCATACTTTGCTCACGAAACCATCTCTAAACTGGATTAATCAACCTTGGAGTGATACAGGACCTAGCTGCATTCCCCTCTTTGCCTTTTTCCCCTTCTTTGACACTAATTAACTTGATTCAGTATTCGAGACTACTGCCATTGCCTACTGCCATCTGCAATTCAATTAAAAATTAACATTTTAATTGCAAATTACTTTGTGTATACTTTATGGGGCGAAAGCACAGACACCGGCAGAGAAACTCCACTTAACTGGAGTAACTTCTTTCACTTCGGCCACCTGCAGCCTGCCATTTCCGGAAACGGAAGTGGAATAAGAAGAAGAAGAGAAGCAGATGGAGGAGAAGAAGGTGCCATTGGAACATCAGCTCATTTCAGGGCGTTTAATTTTATCATGCGCCAACAATTATGCAACTTGTTGGTTCACTGCCTCAAATGGCCAGGCGGTTTTCAATTTGTTGCCAATAAAACTTTTTCCATTTCGGTTTTCCCTCTCAGTTGTTTCCGCATTGGCCTAGCCAAATTGCTCTTTTCCTTTTCTGCCGGCTGCCTCGTCATAGTTTTGTGAGTGGGCTAAAAAATAAAGGAAATTAAAACTTTATTCCTGGCTTTCGGAAACTGGAAACAATGCTGAGATAATCGCTTTTTGGTAAACAAAATGTTCCATGTCGTTTGGCATTATTTGCTTTATTTATTTCGATTGGTTAGGTACCTACTCCATGTATTTACTAAACAAATCTCTGTAATTGTAAGGGAAAGAGATACCTTCAACGATTCTTTTGTTCACTTCGCTTTCCATTTAATAAATTCATGCATCCATTTGCTGGCAATTTGTTATTGATATCTCTGGAATGTCTGCATTTGGCTGGGAAATGGAAGGTAAAACGAAACTTAATCAAATGTGAAACTTTAGTGAGCACTTGATATGCATTTTCGTATTGAATTTCCTTTTCACCTTCCATCGCACAATAATTTTTTTATTCGAGTATTTCTATGGAGAAAAAATACCTTTGCTGTTATCGGCAGATGGAAAATGGGTATGAGCTTGTGTTTGAATTTAGGAGTGAAAATACTTTTTAAAATGTTTAAGGAAACTCAGTTTGCGGTAGAGCAAAATTTATTTTTATTTAAAATTTCACAAATTTAATATACAATCTGCAGTACTTTAATTTCACCATTTTTTTCCTACAAAACCAGTGGCTCTCCTGTTATTTGCTTTTGTAGACAAATTATAAAAACCTCGACTTTGGCATTGTTTTGAGGGCTCGTCGCCCTGAAACACTTCAAAAGCAGACAAAACCACGAAGTAACCATGACCATGACTTTGCCCGCAAAAACCACCTAAAAAAATAACTCTTTTTTTCTTTTGCCCCCAGCTTGCTGGGTCAGTTTTAATTTAACTTTGACATGCATCAGCATCAAAAATCCAATTACAACACACAAATGTAAACAGTGAGTGAGAGAGAGAGAGAGTCCCATTTTTTGTGCGGGACTAGAAAAGCCATTAACGCCTTTTTGCCCTCCATAAAGATGAAGATTTATGAAACCATTAATTTTGCCCAGGCGTCAAAAAAAAAATGTATACAAATTTTGTGTGCAAGTGAGTGAGTGAAAATCCAGTGCTGAAAATCCATGGAAACGGCAATGAAATCCTAGAAATGTCCAGTCAGGCGGGTAAACTGCGTCCGGGTCCTTCGACCAAACCGGATCGCAATGCGAACGAGGAGAACCAACTGGGCGCCAAGCCCAAAAGCCAAAGGACCACCGACAATCATCAGTCGAATCAGCAGAAGATTCTGCATCCCAACTATATGGAACTGGAGTTTTTGCCCACGGAGCCCACGACATCGGGAACTGCCTACAATGATCTTCCAGTGAGCTATGCCACCTGCCTGGTGGGTCCACCTCCCTACAGGGAGCCACCGCCCCCCACACCACCACCCCTTTCGCAAATGCCCTCGCGGCTGCTCCACTCCGCCCCCAACACCCCGAGTCGCGGCAAGGTCGTTCTGAGCAAAAAGGAGCGCAAGGAGCTGAGCAAACAGCTGGGCATTGATGAATCATCGATACTAAGCAGCAGTGCCCAATCGAGTCCCTACAAAGGTCGCGTGAGTGAGCTGAAGAATTGCATAGCTCGTGGTCTCTTTGCCACTCTGCATCGCGGCTCACAGAAGTCTTTGCCGCAGCAGCAGCAGCAGGACGAAAGACCCGTCAGTCAGGAGATATCACCACCTCCGCCGGCACCAGAATCAGCGAATAACAACGAAGATGCGGCGGATTATTCCGAGAAGCTAAAAAATCTACCAGTGAGACAGCGAAAGGCGGCCACCTCTCATATGGAAAACTATTGCCTTTTCGATCCGGTGGATTTTATAAACGAAAAGGCCATGAGATATCCCAGTTCCCATGCCCATGGCTTAAGGGATCCTTTATTTAGCTCTCGACAACATTTGGTCTGCGAGGATGAAGATGAAATGGTACCAGAGGTAATATACGACAACGAAGAACTGGAACTCGAGGAGACCATCATCATAGAGACCTCTGCGATGCCAGAGGCCGAATCGGAAGCAGAGCCTAGAACCTCCGAGATCCTGGCCAGCTTCGATCACCACAACTACTTTATAATAGAACCGGGGGATTTCTCTCTGGACATCGGCATACCCAATCCTTATACCAACGAGCAGCTGGTGAATGCCAAGCTGGAGCAGCAGAATCTGGAGAAGCTCTTCGGCGAATTGGAAAACACAACGGCCAGCATGTCGAATAGTCAGGAGTCCAAGGATACGGAGACCACTTCCACGGCCCTCGTAGAATCATCTACTTCGACCAACTCGGCCAGTTCCGCGGGCAGTTGCTCCCTGGCTGCCAATCCCGCCCAGCAATCGATGAAGAAAAAGCTGACCTTTCTCAATCTTTCACCCTTTCGGAGTGGCAAAAAGGGCAGCGATAAGAACGGCACCTTTGAACAGCATCGGGCCATTTCCGAGTTGGTCAGCACGGATCACATGTTGCATTTGCAGCAGCTGTTGCAGCAACAGCGAAAGGATCAGAGATCTCACACCGTTCCCACCGAATCCAACTATGTGCTCTTCAATCCCGGTCCCGTGCCCAGTCGTCATGTGCAGTACAAGATACGAAAGCCACGACCCCAATCGACGCACAGCGATGCGGATAGCGGATTCCTATCGCCCTGCTCGCCCGACGAAATGAAGGCTAATCCCGCCATCCTGGTGCTCCAGCAGTGCGACAGTGTCCAGGGATATATGGAGGTGAGTTTTGTGTAGTTTAAATATTTAACAGGGATATAGAATAAAATAAAGGGTATAGAAAGGTAATACAAAATTTAATTTGGTAAAAAATATTGCTTAATTGAATTTTATTTATTTTCTATCAAATTTAAATCACGTTTTTATTTCCAAGTTGAAACTAGCTAACTTAGTAAAAATATTAATATATCCACACGGTTGATACTCTCTTTTTACCATATTTGACTAGAAGAAATGCACATTTATTTGGCCTATGGCCTTATGACACTTGACTTTGTCAATAAATAACTGTATTTATTTTAAAAAGTCCTGGCAGCTCATGGCATATTTATATACAGACTTATGAAATGATACTGAGCTCCAAGAATTTTAGGAACTTTTTAAAATAACTCTATTCAGTTCTTTAAAATAGAAGCAGGTGTCTTACGGCTATAAGCGAAAGTTAAGCTTTATTTAAATTCTGCTTTGCGGGACTAATATTTTTTCAAAGCTTTCAGAAAGTCAAAGGAAACCATTTACCCAAAAAAATAAATCTTCTTAAATACCATTTTTCTTTGTGATGACAAAATACTAAATTACCCTATGCAAATCTTAGACTTAATGCTAAGATGCTGCCGAAAAAGTGCCATCATAATGTTCGACCTTATGGCTCATTTTTGGGGTTCTTGTTCTTATGACCTCCACCATATTCCCAGGGCATTTAACTAACTTTCATCCATTCCTTACGTAATCCTCTTACCGTAATGTGAATCGCAGCATTAACCATTGGAAGAAGCACCCCACATAGCAGCTTATCTATATGTATAATTTCGCATATCTTAAGCTGGTAATCATTGCGGGCTGTTTCCGATGTCGCACTTGTCGCCATTTGCCGGCTCACTTATCTTAACGAGCGAGCAACTTAACAAGTCTTATTATGCATCTTGGAACACCCCAGGGGAGGTGTTAACCCACCCAAACCCTCACATACCCCATAATACCCCCGAAAAAACGAAACCCACCCGCAAAAGGCAATGAACAAATGTCAACCCCCTCGGCCGAATCCTTGGGTATAAATTATCAAAAAAAAGGAGAGTATGGGAAGTGCAGTTTTCCCTCGAAAGTGTGCATTCCAAATAATTTCCCCGAATCGTGGGCTTTCCAAAGGTCTTCTGCTGAACTGCATCTGGCTTTCCCCATTCCCACTTTTTCTACTCGCTCTTGTTTTCCCACTTCTTGTTGCCCCTGGGGAGCAATCAATCGTCGCGTTTTCACTGCTCGCTTCATTAGTTTTTCCTACCGCCGAACATTAGTTTGATTGTGTGCTCAAGTGAGGGACAGGTTGAAGGAAAAGTGCGCGGGAAAAGCGGAGGAAAGCAACCACACACCAGCTGTATGTTCAATCTTAGCGACTTTTAATGGAATTGAATTAAAATTGTTGCCATGGTGTTGAGCTCAAAGTGGGAGTACTTATACGAAGGCCACCCCACATAAGCTTTTCCCCGCCCAACTCTCCACCAATTTTCCCTGCCACAGGCGTTTTCTATCATTTGCAAATTGAAATACGCGCTGTACATTTTTGCTTTGAGGCATGCTACCCAAAAAAAAAGAATCAAGCTAAAAGAAACTCTTGGGGCGATTTTTGTGCTATGCTGGGCCATCTAATGAAACGACGACAGGACATCAAGTGAAGCACACTTTTTGGCCCACTGGAGTGGCCTGCAAAGTGTCAAGTGCATTGCTTTTCATATCCTTGTGGGCGGTGGTGGTGGGTTCTTGGTTGGCTAGATGGATGGATAGATGGCCGCTGCAAATAAAGGCTTTCTCCAAAAGGCCAGGGACGAACGGGGGGAGAGGGAAAAGGTCCTGCAGCAAATGGAATGTAAATTGATATACGCGGGGAGGGGAATGAAGCAGGATCTGCCGGCGGGCTCAAAGGTAAAATCCTGTCAGAGCTGCACTGAATGTAGTTGAGAGGCGAAAATTAGTTTCAAGAAAGATAGTTATGAAAAAAGGAAATGGCGGAAAAATTGATTATTCTATAAGGTGTTAGAAAACAGGTTAAGTAATCTAAAAAAATCTATACTTATAAATCAAAGCATATTTTAGCAATTTAGGGGAAATGTTAAATTAAATTATTTTTTAAATAATATTAATTTTTAAATTAAATTTTTTTTTATTAAACAATACTAACTATATTATTTTTTGTTTAATATTTAGTTTAGTTTCAAAGATTTCTTAAAGTTCTCTTTTCTTTAAGTGAGTTTATAATGTTAACACAAATCCATTAAACCAAAAGATTTCTCTTTATAATTCTACAAAACAGCCCTAAAAATATCTCATTTGTTTCAAAATGTTTATCGCCAGTAAAAACCAAAAGTTGCAATCAAGATACAAACAGCTGCAGCATCAGGAGTCAAGTGCTGTAATTGTCTGCACAATTTTGCTTACAAACTTAGACCACAGTTTTCCACTTCACATATTCCACCCCCTTTTTTGCCTTTTCCGTTCGAGTCTATATCGCTATATCGCAGCACTCCGACTCTTCAGTCCGAAATGCCACTTTCCATCAAAGTCAAAGCAAACAAAAACATTTTTGGAATTTATGCAAACGGCGGCTGGCGTTTGCATAACCATAAATTACTGTCCTACCCCCTCTTTTCCGCTTTTCACTTGGGACTGGGACTACTGGTCAAGGGATTCTTTGGCCTAGGTCGATGTTTTGGCTACTGCCCCTTTTTGGCCAACAAAATTTTGGGTCCTTTCCCCGTACTTCTCAAGCAAAAGTCTCAATTGCAAATTGCAAACAGCGCCGAGGCATGCAATTTAGCTATCCATACACTGCCGCTCGTTTTCCTCCGATTTCCCCCGAGTTTTCCAGGGGAACTTGTCGCGAGGCGCTAAGCTGTCAACTGTCAGGCATAGTTGTGTGTCCTTGCGACAGGATGCGGATGCTGCGGATGCACCCACAAAAAGGGGTGGCTCGGGAAATGCACCCAGAAATCGTTTACCCTTTGTGGGGGAGGATGGGTGTGTTTTTTCATCCGCGGGGGAGGGTGTTTTTCATCCAGGGGATGGCCATTCGCAAGTCGCGTGGCGTGCGGCTACTTTATAGATCCCAACCCACACCCACGAAAACACCCTAACTCCCCCTTCAAAAACCCGGGATTCGGATTCTGATTAGTCCAATAAGTTGTAAAAAGTGTCGCTACGGTTGCTACTGCTGCTGCATTCCCTTGGTGATTATCAGATGTTCTGTCGTCCGGGGGTTGGGATTTCATTTCGATAACTTTTTGATTTATGACCGGCAATAAATGTTCAATGCATTTTATAATTATGTTGCGCCTACAGCGACAAATGAACGGGAAATGCCATTGCCATATGTGCAAAATTGTACATAATTACGAATTACGATTTTTACTTGTTTTTTTGCAGGGAAAATTGTGTTTTATTTTATGCACTGATCAAAATGAAAATGGGGATACTAAAGGAAAATGCATTTTAAAACCTAATTAGTTTTGTTATGTCCTTGCAAGCAATATTGTTTACCTCACATGAATGTAAAATTTAATTATTATGTGTTAATTTAGGGCTTATTCAATTCAACTAAAGTTCCCATAAAGGAAAATATGTTTTAATACAATAAAGAAAAAGTCGGGAATTTAACTGTACTGAATACATTAAACAAAACCTTAAAAGGGATTATGGGGATAAATACCTGAAAGCTGTAATAAAAAATTCCCATTTCAAATGGTTAATCATCTGAGCTTTCAATTTATGGTGCTCACGTGTATCCAACCATTTTCCCATCGCATTTCGGGCAGCAGCGAATTAAGTAAAAAATGGAAACAAAAGCCGGTTTCAGCCATGCAATAAAAAAGAAAACGAGAAATTATTTTCGCTTTCGCATTTAACAATTAAGCAAGCATGGTATGTCCTCGATAAGGAACTGCAACTGCAACTGTCAATATTGTAAAAGCTTCAACTCATTGCCCTCCATGTTTTTTTCCCCTGGGGGAACTGCACTTCACTCACACTCTCCGAAAAACGAAAGAGCAGATTAAGCTGCAATTTATAGAGAAATGATTTTTATTTTCCCACCCGTAATTATATTGGCGGAGAAAAATAATAATTTTAATTTTAATTTTTCTGCATTAATTTGGCGGTCCTGTTGTCCTTCGTCCTTCGAGGCATTATCCAGCTGACGGCACAGAGTTGGTTTAATGGACGTTGGCCGTTATTAATGCCACAGTTTGCTGCACATGCGATGGCGACAGCATCCTACGTCGCCTCCTTCTTCTTCACTTTTCCGGCTGGGAATGCGTTTTCATATTTTTCCGGCACACTTAAAGTTTTCAATTTGCCGCTCTATGAGGAGTGTCCTTTGCTGCAGGCCTCGGGTTTTCGGAATCATTTTATTTACATGGACGGCGGCTCCGTCGACGTCACTTAGTGGCCGCATGCGGGACATTAAAGGCAGGCATCCAGTCAGCCAGGACGAAGAATCCTGCTGCTCCTCCTGCTTTTTGCCCACACTGCACACTCCAGTGCAAAATGCAGCCCTGACAGCTAAATGCGTTGCACTTATGCTTAAAACATGTCAGGCCGTCCAGACAGCACTCAAACAGACGTAGAAAGAAGCGCTGCCAGGCGGGACTTTCCCCACCCGACTTTTAAATGATAGTTAGAGTAATAGACCGGCAGAAAATAGAACAGAAGCCGAAGATTAGGTTCTCAGGGGAAATGGTTCTCTGAGGGACTTGGCTTGTGCGGCAAATAGTTTTTAAGGGAAAATAGGAACTTACTTTATATTTAAGTCGGGCTTCTTTAAGGGAAAGATTGTAGGTTTGAAAGGAAATAATATTAAATATATTTTCAAATGTATATTTTATGTTGTTTATTTAGATTTATTTTGTATTTTTTTTTTTTTTTCTGGAATGAAATATTCAAAATATTTTAGGCGCAATGAAAAGAAGATGGGATAAAGATTCATAAATATTACAAATATTTTAGAGATCTTCTTA